GTCTCCTGCCTCTGCCTCCCAAGTAGCTGGGACCACAGGCGCCCGCCACAACGCCCGGCTATTTTTTGGTTGCAGCCATCATTGTTGTTTTGGTGGGTCCGGGCTGGGGATTCGAACCCGCCACCTTAGGTGTACGTGGCTGGCGCCTTAGCCGGTTGAGCTATAGGCACCGAGCCCCAGCTCCTTGTCCATTTTTTTAATTGGGTTTTTTTGTTGTTGAGTTGTAGGAGTTCTTTATATATTTTAGATACTAATCCCTTATTAGATACATGATTTGCAAATATTTTCTACTATTCTATGAGTTGCTTTTTCATTCTATTCTATCCTTTGCTTTTGTTATTTTTGTTTTTTAAGAGAGGGGATCTTATTCTTGGCCAGGCTGTCCTCAAACTTATGGGCGTAGCAATCAATCCTCCCACCTCAGCTTCCTGAGTAGCTAGGACTACACCTGCTACCTATAGTAGCCGTGACTACATGCCTGCTTACATAGAAATTATTGCATAGTATGATACAATGTTCCTCATTTTTTCTTTTGTTTCCAGTACTTTTTATCTTATATCCATGAAATCATTGCCAAATCTAATGTCATGAAACTTTACCTGTATCTTATCTTCAGTTTTTTTAGCTCTTACATTTAAGTTTTTGATCTATTTTCAAATTTTATATAAGGATCCAGTGATCCCAGCTTCATTCTTACTTTTTTTTCTATTTTTTGAGATAATGGGGTCTCACTGTGTTGCCCAGGCTAGTGTACAGTGATGTGTACATACCTTACGGTATCCTACAAATTCCTGGACTCAAGTGATCGTTCTACTTCAGTCTCCCAAAGTGCTGGGATTATAAGTGTGAGCCACCGTGCCTAGCCAGCTTCGTTTTTTTGAGAGATTATCAGTTCTTTAGAAAGTGCTTATTATTCTGTGGAGATATGTAGAAGCTTGTGTAAATGTATGAAGGACTTACCCAGGTTACATCTATTCGTGTTTTTATTACAAGTTAAAATAATTATTGTGAGTTTAATAGTAGTTTTAGTATGAATACTTCCTTTGAGTGAAAAATTTATCTTCACTATTCAGGTAAATTTCCTTAAAAGAAATAATTTTATTAAAAGTTGTGTGACTTAAAGAGTTTGTTTAAAGAGGCTTGGCACCTGTGGCTCAAGTGTCTAAAGGTGCCAGCCACGTGCACCTGAATTGGCAGGTTCGAATCCAGCCCGGGCCTGCCAGACAATGATAGCTGCAACCAAAACATAGCCCGATGTTGTAGCGGGTGCCTGTAGTCCCAGCTACTTGGGAGGCGGAGGCAGGAGAATCGCTTGAGCCTAGGAGTTGGAGGTTGCTGTGAGCTGTAATGGTACGGCACTCTACTCAGGGCAATAGCTTGAGGCTCTATCTCCAAAAAAAAAAAAGTTTGTTTAAAGAAATCCTATGGATTTTTAAAATTAGGTTGCTGATAGGGCAGCGCCTGTGGCACAAAGGAGTAGGGCACTGGCCCCATATGCCGGAGGCGGCAGGTTCAAACCCAGCCCTGGCCTAAAACCACAAAAAAAAAAAATTAGGTTGCTTACAAAGTCCACTAGTGTTATCAAATTAATTTAATTGTTTTATATTCGTTTTGTGTTATATTTTGCTTTTTTATCCCTGTTGTTTTTCGTGGTTTAAGTCAGCTTTATGCAGATATATCATCTAGGCAGCTTTTGTTACATATGTGTCTTTAAACATTCTCTTTGAAATTACACAAGTTGCTCACTTCAGAAGCACATATAGTGAAACTGGAACAATACAGAGAAGATTAGCATGGCTCCTATACAAAGATGACACACAGATTCTTGGAGTTTTTCTTTTTTTATTTTTTTGCTGTTTTTGTAATAGATTTATTCAGACTGCTGTACTCACTTAATTTAGCACAATGCTATTGATCTAAATATTTTTAATGTACCTATATCTAGATTAATTTTTTTTAAAAGACAAATTACAAAAACGATCAAATAAATTAGAATAGGATACTTTTTTTTTTTTTTGGGGCAACAGAGTCTCACTGTGTCACCCTCAGTAGAGTGCTGTGGCATCACAGCTCACAGGAACCTTAAACTTTTGGGCTTAAATGATTCTCTTGCCTCAGCCTCCCAAGTAGCTGGGACTATAGGTGCCCACCATAACACCTGGCTATTTTTTGGTTGTAGTTGTCATTGTTGTTTGGCAGGCCTGGGCTGGATTCGAACCTGTCAGCTCCGGTGTATGTGGCTGGTGCCCTAGTTGCTGAGCTATGTGCACTGAGCCTAGGGTACTCTTTATTTATTTATTTATTTATTTATTTATTTATTTTTTGCAGTTTTTAGCTAAGGCTGGGTTGGAACCCACCACCTCCAGCATATGGAACAGGTGCCCTATTCCTTGAGCCACAGGCACCACCCTAGGGTACTCTTAAGAAAATATTTCCC